GCATGCATGCATACATACATACAGGTCTGTCATAACCATGTGAGGAACGGCCGTACCACCAGGGCATTTCAGAACCTTAAGATAAGGGTGCTGCTGCATTAAGGAGGACTGTCTAGGAGAGGGCCCTGCCCTGGAGGACTCATAGATTTGCAAGCAATCCTTATTTAAAAGTTGAAGCGTGTAAGGGAAGGCTCATTCGAGGGGTGGCGGGGGTGACTGTCCAATTTCGTTGAGACGGCCATGTAATGCCTTTATTGAGAAGGATCGTGCATGGGATCGCCGGGTACAAAAAGACACGAGTAACCCCAAGCGACCCTTCAAGCCCTAAAGCCCTAAAGCCNNCCATTCTACAACTAAGGTTTAGGGTTGAGGGATTTACTTCTACCGATCAACAGCTAGGGAAGCCATCCCGAATACTTCTACTAACCACTCAGCCCCCCAGCAATGCTGCCCCTAGGCCGCCTAAACCCTGACCCGTAGACTAATTAAACCCTAAACCCTAAACCCTAAACCCTAAACCCTAAACGCAAACCCTCCGATAGGTGAAACATCGAAGGTGCTTAGGCTAGTAAAACATCGAAGGTGTTTGCAAGGAACACCAATCAGCCACGCTCCTTGGAGATCTTGCGAAAGACCGGCGCGATCATGTGGCAAGGTCCACAAGACATACCTGGGTTTTGTGAGCAGAAATTTACTATAGGGGGCCTAATAGTTAGAACCGGGTTCTTGAGGTCCTTTATAGTATATTTATACTAAGGAACCCGCAAAATAATACGGGTAATTATTTCGGCTTCTTTATTAGGGTCTATAGGCTTTGATTTGGGGCCGGGATGACAAGGTTTAGGGCTTTTGGGTTTAAAGGCTAGAGTTTAGGGTTTAGGGTTTAGGGTTCGTCTGAAGGGCTTTATGGTGCAAGGTTTAAGGCTTCAAGGTTCAGGTTTAGGGCTTAGGCTGTGGGGTTCCAGGATAACGGGCCCTGGATTGCAAACAAAAAATCCGAAACCCTATTTCAAATCTGAACTCCCGATACCCGTTAAGCACGAGGACTGGCCAAGCACCTCAGCCATCGAAAGGTATAGGGTTTGAGGTGTACATGTTTTCAATGAAACCATACCTAGGTGAAGTAGGTTTCCTGTCTACGTCTTCCTGGTTCTGAGTTCTGGGTCAACGAGGTCATCTATCTCGAGATCTCGCACATCATCCTCCCCCCCTCTGTTGGGCGAAATTGATTCTAGTCTCATTACCTAACTTATGACGCTGCTTATAATTTTAAGTGCCCATAATCCTCGACGAGTCCATCAAAGGTAAGCGCTTCAGCGCCCAGTGGGGTTTCGACCCGCCACGGTACTACGGCAGTCAAAACCCTAAACCCTAAACCCTAAACCCCGAAACCCTAAACCATAAACCCTAAACCGTGAACCCTTCTAAACCCTAAACCCTAAACCCCAGAACAATGAACCCCTAAACCAGCCACGATACTATAGAAGTCCAGGATAATCGGTCTCCCCCCGGCTTCCGTGAGCAGATCTTTGAATTCCTGGCGGGGGCAGAGCCTGACCTGGGGTTAACGGGTTTGGAGTGGGCTGTGGGCTTTTAAAAGTGGTTAGGGTCTACGGGTTTAGGGTTTAGGGTCTAGGGGTTTAGGGTTGAGGTTTTGGGGGCTAACACTGGCTGGTCACGAAGCTTCGGGATGGTGAGTTGGGGTTGAGAGCCCTAGCACTTAAGCGTGGAGCTTCTGGTAGTGCCAGGTCGTGCGCGCACGGAGTACGCGATGTTCCATGGAGGTGTTGGGGAATTGCTGATCCTTGGCGCCAAACCCAAAACCTGGCACAGCCTAACAAACCGTCTCCAAGCTTGCACTAACGTAGGGGCCTTAATAATTAGAATAAGGCTTTGGGGCCCTTTATAGTATAATTCTAATACGGCACCCCCCAAATAGTAATTATACTTAATTATTCAGGCCCCTATATTACCACCCTGCAAAGCCCTTGCAAAACCTTCGCAACACCCTTACATACCCCTTATCGGACGGAAAGCCCCGAACCGTCCTCCTGCAGCGTTGCAATAAGACTATGCCCAGGTTTCAGCTCAGATACACGGGTTTGCCGAATTTCCTATTTTTCAGCTGCAAACTTTGTTGGTACCATGCGCTTACTGCTTGTGAAGACTCGTGAATACCCGGTGAAGCAATGACAACTAACATATACTAACATGCTGCGACCTTCCTGGCGCCTCCGAAGCGTAGTCGTACCAAAGTTCGGAACAGTGACGCCCAGCCGAGGATACTCGCGCACCGATACCCTGCTGCTAACAGCCCATATGCTAACTTTCTAGCAACGCCAAACCGTAAACAGCAAACAGAGCTAGAGTCATAGACCGGCGCATCGGAACTCCAGTCTGTTCAGCCCAAGTTCATAGTAATCGTACAATCGTACCTCCATGACAACCCCGGAACCGTATGCTTGCCATGGCCCGGATTTACTAAATATAGATCACCAATGTTCCCCACCAAAAAACCCTCTAGGATTTGTTTTGAAGCAAGCCCCCCTCCCCCTCCCAAAAGAAAAAAAAAAGCTCACACCAGCCCAGCCCAGAACCAACCAGGCGCAGTCTTTTTGAAGCCGCTGGGCACCGGCAGCCGAAAGCCAACCGGGCCACCAAAGCGCACACGAAACACCGAAGTCCTGTGCGTCCAGGGCCTACCTATTCCAAAGGGCGATAGGTTATACATATGCACGCGAATATGTTATGTAGTGAATGTATACAAGAAGATATACATACTATAGCCGAAAGAGTTAAAGGTACATACTCGGGTACTTCGTATAAGGCTTCCGGTTTCGGGTTGGCTTTTTGTTGACCGACGAAACCACCATGTTCTGCGGCACACTGGAGGCACGCTTAATTTCAGTGTCTGCCAGAATCCCTCCCCTCTCTCTGCATGGCTGACACCCCAAGCCCTATAATGTAGGGGCCTTAGTAATCAGAATAGGGTTTTGGGTTATATTATACTCTAATTATCCCCCAAACCAGTACAGGCAATTGTTGAGGCCCCTGTATTCATAGTTCCATCATCACACGTCATGTCGTCATTCCTGCAAAAACCTAGGGCCGGAGACTCGGCACATGCAGGGTCTGCAGGGCTCAGGAGGTTTAAGGTTTAGGGTTTAAGGGTTCAGGGTTCAGGGTTTAGGGTTTCGGGTTTACGGCTTTAGGGTTCAGGGCTCAGGGCATATAGGGTCCAAATCAGCAAAGGAACTCTACACGTAAGTGTAAAGGCCACTGTAGTTATTTGTTTGTGTACTTGTTTGTTCTTTTTTCTTCTTATATGTAGGTATGTGTGTATATGTGTGTATATATATACACATATATAACTACATATATATATATATATAAACCCCTGTCCTCCCTAACTTCGAAGCAAATCAGTCCTCGAAGGAAATATGCCTCATCTCAAGGGCACGCAGTCCCAGAACAATGATACCATTCCTTGGCTCACACTACCCATTGGCTCCACATATAGTACCATTATAAAAATTAGGTCCCAAAAGACCATCCTTATGAAGGTTTTAGGGACCTAATTCCATAATGGTAGTATATATGGAGTTTCCGGGCTAGCTCAAAATTCAAACCCCAAAACCCTAGACCATAGACCCACCACTGAAATCACACCCCCCCCTCTCTCTTCGTAAACTGCAGCTCTACCATGTCTGTCGAAGGAAGTCCTGCATGTTATGGCATAGGGTTTAGGACGTGTCTTCAAATCTTACGGTCTTTGGGTTTCAATCACTCTAGGGCTTCAAGTCTTACCCTCCCAAAAAAAAAACGTCTCAAGCATCCAAAGCTCCCGCAGACGCTTATGCCATGCTTGTTTCGCCGCTTCTTCGGTGTCGTTGATCAAGTTCCGCATCTGCCAGGGGTCTTTCGCAACGTCATAGAGCTCTGCGAAATCCACATGGCTGAAGTCGATAGGCACCTTTGCGATGATTGAAACCCGACGGTAAAGCAGCCGTTTGTAATGCTACCTGCAGCCCCAAGCCTACAAAATGCGAGGTTTTGACCCCACAACGATGGGTTAAAGCCCTTGCAACAGTAAATTTACAGGTTGTTGCATCCACAGCCAGAGCATGCTGCGGCCATGTAGCGCCGTGCTTTTGCGTCCGCGGCTCAAAACATGCAGCCATACACGCCCATGTGGCATTTGAGGATGCCACCACCACCCACACACAACAGGCGGATGACTTTCGACTTGGTATAGGGTTGTGGGGAGCTTGTTTGCACTATAGAGGGACAATTAATCAGGAACTACTTAAGTATCATCAACTTCAAGACTGCTGCAACTACTATTGCTATTGCTGCTACTACTACTACTACTACTACTACTACTACTACTACGACGACGAGTACGACGACTACGACTACGACTTCTAATACGTTCAGGACGAGTGGAATCCTGATACGTAAGGCCCCTGAAGCCCAACCTTGATCCTTTAAACCCCCAATTTCTCATTGTAATGTAGGGGCCTTAATAATTGGAATAGGGTTTTGGGCCCATTATACTATGATTATAATACGGAACCCCAAATAGTTCAGGCAATTACTTTGGCAATTCCAAACTCCGAACCCATCCTCTGTAAACCCTACAGGCGAAGCCTCTTTCGGAAGCTCGGCTTAGAAGCGCTGATGACTGTAGCTACTTCACAGTCCTACTTGGCCGGGAATACCTTCATCTGGTTCCCCGTTGATTTTGCGACAAACCCACGGGCCACAAACCATAAACGAGAACCATCGAAGTTTTGAAGAAGTTGTAGTTTTTGGCTATTCAAGTCCTTGATAAGAGAAGAATCACATCACTGGCGAGCCGCTTCCTGGAGTTGACCCGTCTGGAACTCCGCGTACAGCACATTCCCCCCTCCAGCGAAATCACCTCTGCTTCTTCGGTGTGAAACTAATCCAGGCAACAGCTGATGGGGCTAGATCCGCAGGGTCAGGTGCATTGCAGTTTCAGCAATCCCATAGATATTTCAGAACACCATCAAGATGGGCCAATCGAAGCCATGGAATTGCAAAACCCTAAACCCTAAACCCTGAACCCTAAGCTGAATGCTACAGCCACGTCGCGGAGGGCGATGAAGTTGTTGGCTGGGGTCTCTGTGTAGTAGCAACCAGTCTGCAGGTCCAGGACTTTAGACGTGGTTTAGTGTTTAGGGGCTTTGGGCGTCAATCACCCGTGGGTGGATCTAGAAGGCATGCACCGACCGTGCAACCCTTACATCGTTTTGTGTTGATGACTTCCGGTTTGAAGAAATCTGTGTGTTTTTCCCGAGTATGGAGTCTGCAGGAGTTTGTACGTCAATAGCAGCCAGCCAGCCTCCGTAGCTTCTCTTCGCTGGTGTTCTTGTGGGCAGCTGAGTTCTGGCGGTCATGACGGCCTCTGACTAAGCTTGTCGATCCTTGTCGTGTGTGATGTTGGTGGCACAGGAAGCTGAGCATCAGTGCTGTGTGCAGCTTGTAGTTTTTCTTGGTGTCGACTATTCCGCTCCCTTCAGGCAGGCAAGGCTTCGCAACGCCTTGTCAAGGTGTACAATGCCTTGCCTGCTGAGACTGCAAGCAAGGGCCGAGTCTGGATACATAAAGCAATAATAAAACTACCCAGCTGCACGAATCACCAACTATCAAGCTGAGCGAGACAATATCGATCGGCAGGCAAGTCTGAAGAGCCTCTTCTAAACACAACGGGTGCGACTGTCAACTTCAACATACCGGGATAAGTAAGGCAGGGTTAGCCAATACAAAGCCCGGGCGTGGCTTGTGAGGTCCTGGCGCCCGAACCCGAACTGGCTAGCACAGCACCGTTCCCTGGCCATGAACCGTGCATTCCGCTGATTCCGGCTGTCCCACAGGTGTCCGTTTCGACACAGCGCATGAAGCTGCTTCTGGTGTAATGCTGCTGTGTAGTTGAGGGGCCACCAAAGCAAAAGCAAACCACAAACGCATGTTCTGCCCGGTGAGTTTAGCTTGTATGTCCATAGCATTACCAGTGTTAACATCATGCACCTTACTATTATATTATTGCTATTATGTTTTATTTTTATGAACCAAGTACTACTGTAGTAATAGCCGGCCTCGAGCTTCTCTTCTCTGGAACACCAGCAGTCCCGGTTGTTAGCCAGATCACCACACCAGCTGTCGGCAAAGGGGTAGGCCGATGTGTTCGGGCAGTTCAACACGCATTTGGTGTTGTAGTCCACGAAGTAGTACTCAATGAACCTGCGGTAAACCCCAAACCCTAAACCCTGAACCCTAAACCCTAAACCCTAAACCCCAAACCCTAGACCCCTAAACCCTAAGCCCTTATACCCTAAACCCTTAAACCCTGAACCCAATCCAGTCACCAGGTACAGGCCCCAAACTCCCCACCTCTGAAAACCTTTCAAGATTGAAAGTTTAGGGTTTAGGGTTTAGGGTTTAGGGTTTAGGGTTTAGGGTTTAGAGGAGCCCAGGTACAACTCCTTTCTCCATCTCCGCGCCGCTTCCCCGGGCGCCGCAAGAGCACGCAAGTGTCGCTGAGTCGACTGCGGCACCTGGGCCTCCCAGAGAAGCGCTGGGGGCTCGAAGCCTTTAGGCTTTAGGCTTTAGGGTTAGGGTTTAGGGTTTAGGGTTTAGGGTTTAGGGTTCAGGGTTTAGGGTTTAGGGTTTAGGGTTTGGTGTGCGAGGTTGAGGCTTTAGGATTCAGGATTTGGGGGGCGCATTGGGCTTTAGGGCTTCGGAGATTCACATGCGTATACCATATTTCACATAGTTGTCGAATACTTACACTCGCTGCAATTTATGGCACGATCTTGTCCGTTTGCGGAACTGCTAGGGGAAACTAGAGAGCTTTGGGCCATTCAAGACAGTTTCAAGGGTTGACGGCCTGCTTGGACTACCGCTGCGCTTCATAGGAGGGCCTCGATGAGGACACTACAGAGAATCTGGGTTTAGGGTTTGGGGAAGCGCCATAACCGGTCAGATTTGGATACATGTCTTCACCCTCCCAACAAGATTGACTCAGGTAGCAGAAACCCTAAACCTAAAACCCTAAACCCTAAACCCTTAAACCCTAATCTCTAAACCCTAAAAGCACAAGCACCTCCAGCTCGGGCGATATGAGGAAGCGAGCGATCGACTGGCCATCATAGTGCTCCGGCGCTGCCAAACTGCAGGGTTCAGAGACAAATTTTGCAACGGTTTAGGGAATTTAGGGCTTAGGGTTTAGGATTTATAAGGGTTTAGGATTTAGGAATTGGACCCTAATCCTAAATGAAGGCCCTAAATCCTGAACCGAGTCCAAACCTCAACCCCCGGCCCCGAAGCCCTAAATCTAGAACCCAAAATTCTGAAACCTGAAACCCACCACAGGCGCATATATATGTCCCCACTCTACGGCAGCGTATTTGGGCCCAGGTTCTGCGCGAGAAAGGGGCCTGGATCATTCATGGGAATGGGGTTTCGTAGGGTTTAGGGCCATACTGTAGATATACATAGCCCTAACCCTAAACCTTAAACCCTAAAACCCTAAACCCTCAACCCTAGACCCAAAGCCTTATAAACCCTAAACCCTATAAACCCTAAACTCTAAGAAAGGATGCTACCAAGGATTCCGGTCCCCTAGATCATCCTGAGTAAGCTGACGCCCCGACCCGGCGAGGCCCAGCAGCGTCGGTGCAATGTCCACCTGGGTGCCCGGCGCCGCGAAGCTCGAGCTGGGTCGAATACCTGGGTTCTTGCTCAGGAACTTTGCACTATTTGCCATATTTTTTTACATAGAGTGTATTGCAATTGCAGTATATTCTGGATATAAGGGTGTCATTCGGACTTTTTGTGGTACACATCCTTTTTTCGGGTTTAGGGTTTTCAAGAAGTTCCTTAACGAGATCCCAGATACCAGGCCCGCGAGCGAGGAGATGGATCTTGGTGTCCCATTCCTGATGTGGCGGGTTTGGTCATTGCGTTTAGGGTTTAGCGTTTAGGGTTTAGGGTTTAGGGTTTGGGCGCTTTTTCGTTTTCCGGTTTGGGGCTTGAGTGTGGGGTTGGGGGGATTTGGGTTTCGGGGTGTATGGTTTAGGATACAGGTCGCTTCAGCAGGAGGGCGCTAAGTGGGCCGTACAAATCACCCTGCTTTACAAGCTCCTGCAGAGGGTCCACGAGAAGTAGAACGTCAAGTTGTTGAATCTGCTACACCACCTTAAGCTACCATAACCGACTTGTGCGTAGGTCCTTCTAAACCCCAATCTGCAAGTGTAGGGGCCCTCAACACAAAGTAGGTTTCGGTAGATCAATTTATGTCCTAAGCTCCTGGATTTCTGAGCTCAGCCGTCCACATGACTGAGATTCAAGGCATCCTGGCCGAAGCCCCAAAACCAAAACCTTACATAAACTCGAACCCAAACACTGCAACCAAAACCCTGAAACAAATCCTAAACCCCAAACCCTAAACCCTAAAACCCTAAACCCTCATGGAGATTCTGGCTGGAGGATTTGGGGAGCTGTTTACAGCCTAGGAAGCAGGGTGCTGAAGCGAGCAAACGGAGGAACGGAGTCTACTGAAGCGGGAAGGGGAGGAGGTTCAATATTCGATGCTTCAGATTGTTTCAGGGCTAATGTAGGGCCTAAATAATTACCGATACTACTTGTGGGGGTTCCTTGATATAATTACGGTACAATATATCCCAAAACTCTATTCGAATTATTAAGGCCCCTGTATTAGTTTGAAAGAATAGCTTCTTCGGAGCATCGTTGCTTAAGTCCTTCTCATGCTACTTTGCTAGCGAGCTCCGGCCTCGGATGTGGGGTTTTGATTAGCCTGATGCGAACCACCAAGGTCAAACCCCAAACCCTAAACCCTAAACCCCTAAACCCCTAAACCCCTAAACCCTAAACCCTAAACCCTAAACCCTAAACCCTAAACCCTAAACCCTATAACAGCTCGAGTCGCATAAACATGGCGCTTGTCCATGGGGATGTTGAACTGACCCAGCTGGAAGCCGTGGTCACTCGAGAAGAAGAAGTAGGTGTTCTCCAGCTGCCCCAGCTCCTTACTAAGTTTCAAGAGCTGTGTCAAGACAGTCTCCGAACTTACAAGTGGGTTCATGACTTATTCTAGTCCCCTCATAGTATACTTAAGTGTATACTTATACCCTTCTGATGCCCATCCACATGAAGGCATTGATTGCGTACTTCGACGTCCAAGGATCCTCCACCTTTCCAATTACATCTGCGATCAGGTCATCCACAGACAGCAGCGTCCGCCAGCGATTTTTGAAGACGCCGGTGATGACCCTAGCAGCTTCAGGACTCAGTAACGGCTCCGTGGCGATGTTGCCTGGGTTTTCGCACGAAGGATCTTAATGAACCCCTACGAACAGCAAAGTATAACGGTATCCCATACTAGGTTTCTGAGTAGCCCCTTAAAAAATTGTGGTTTTAATGAGGGAGCCAAAAAAAGGAAAGAAGGGGCTTAAAAGGGTACTACCGGGGAACCCAGCAATATTAACGAGAGCCCGGTGGCCATGGTGGTCACGACGGCTGCCAGCGGAGCAATTCCAATTTTCAGCCCTTGGCTCATGCTGGGGCCAAGAAGCTTCCCAGGTGTCGCGGTACCAGGGGGCGGGGTTGAAGGGTTCGTGGGCCGCTTTCGGGGCGATGTAGGCCTTGTTTGCGGAGCTCATCAGCCCAAGAAAGCACCCACACTTTCAGCTCCAGAAGGGATCACGTTAATTATCCCAAAACGTGTAAATTGCACTCATTCAGCCACTAAGATGCCATGAAGGGGCGCTCTGAATGGATGGCTTTCTCGATGAAGGCAAGGGAAAGGTTCCCGATGACGGAGGTGCTGTAGTTGGAAGGAGCATTGCTGAACTTTACCCAGCCCTCTGGGAGACCATCCACTCCTTTGGTCATGAACTTGGGGGCAAAGTAGTCGCCACCTCCATTTGCAAACCAGACATCAAAACCAGGAGGCACCTTCTCAGGCATCACATTCAGATACTTTCCGAACATTCCAGTCATGTAGCCCGCGTCATGGAGGCGCCTCACAAAGGTGTCATCATTCACTTTGCTGTAGTTCACGTGCATCCCAGCACCCGAACCGCCCACTTGTTTTATGTTGTGGAAGTAGCGGCCAGTCAGCAAAGTTGACCGGGAAGGACTGCAGATGGGCACATGGATGTGCCAGTTCTCCTGACATTTCCACAGAGATTCGGGAGAGGAAGGGAGCCAACGCTTTCCGAGTTCGGTTCTACGGGATGCTAAAGCCCTGCGAAGTTTGAAAACCCACCAGGCAAGAATTCACCAAACCTCAACCCTAACGCCCCCAGCCTTGAACTCTAAACCTTAAAGCCTAAAGCCCGAAGTTCCTTCCAATCGCTGCCGAGTCTCTGCATGGATGCCGGCATCGCTCAGGAGCTGCTGGGTCTTCGGCATGGGCGTGGCACCATGTGGGCTGGTCGGAGGGAAGGAACCGCCCAGAACCTGCAAAGATGTAGGGCTCCTTTATCTAGGTTGAGGGTTTAGATGTCGGGTTCCTTTATTTAAGGGTACCTATAAGGGCACTATGATAGGCTTGCTTTAAGGGTGCCTCTAAGGGAACTATGATAGGCTTCCTTTGGGGGTACTATGGTAGGGTTCTTCTAAAGAGTATACGCTAAATTAGAGGGGCTTGAAGGCTTCGGGTTTTGGGTTTTCGGTGGAGGGCTCAACGATTACGGTTTTCGGGATTTCGGTGTAGGGTTTCGGGCTTTGGGGTGTATTGTTTCGGGTTTGGGGACCCTAAACCCTAAACCCTAACCCCTAAACTCTAAACCCTGTAGGGTCCTGGGTTTGGGTTTGATTTTTTGGGGTTTAAGGTGTAGGGTCTAGGGTCTTTTTGCCTGGGGGAGCGCTTACCGTCACTACTGCAAGCTATATTGGGCTAGACTATATAGCTACATATATATATATATGTATGTGTGTGTGTGTATATATATATATATATTAGCAGAGTATACCCAGAGTGGATCACAGAAAGTAAGACGAACCCCAAATCGACCTCGCGATGGAGGTCAGGAGTTTAGGGCTTTCGGTTTTGGGGCTTAGGGTTTAGGGTTTCGGGTTTAGGGCTAAACCTGTTGGGTACTGTCTGTAATGGCTAAACCCTAAACCCTAAACCCACAAAAAGCCTAAAATAGACCCGACTTCGATCTGCTCTGAATGGTCAGGGGTTGGGGATTTCGGTTCATGGGGCATGGGATTTTACGGCGTGGGGCTTTGGGGTGGCTTTAGGGTTCAGCATTTCGGAGTGTGGGGAGTCTTCAGGATGTCCGAAGGACCAAGCCTAAGGTTCTTAGGGTGAGGAGTCGCCCAGGCACCTGATCTTGATCGTCCGTAAGGATCCAGACCTAGGTTCCCATAGAGACCCGGGTTCGGTTCCCAAATAGACCCGGGTTCCCAAATAGAATGGGTTTAGGGTTTTTTTTTTACAGTGCAACGGCCTTTCACACTGTTAGCGCGTCATGCCCGCCTCATTGAGGCTTACACCAAAGGGAGATACACGCCCCCATTTCAAGAGCGAGCTCCACCCCACATCAAAGTTCATATCATACATCCCAGGTAGTAGGTTGAAGGGACATCCCAAGTATCAAAGTGCAGACAGAGAAAACAGCACTACTCAGTAACTTAAGCCGGCTCAGACGACGCACTCCCCAGACTTTTTGGCACTCGTCACAAGGTTCACGTCAGTTGAGGACAGAACTATTGTTCCACCCCGGCCCCAAAACGTTCACGGTTGGCATCCGCGGCGGTTGCCACCCCATCATTCGCCATGGACTCGTGGTCGTCACCCCAAGCACTAGTCTGGACCGGTGGAGCAGGTAGAACGGCAGGAACGCGGGCAGGAGCTGAAGGGCGTACAGCAGCGACAGGTGGATCACCCCCAGCAGCTTCAAGAGCAACAGGGTGGACTGTAGCATGGTCGGTCGCATCAAGTACACCCCCAGCAGGGCAGTCCGACGAGACAGCCATCGTAGCTCCAGATGGACCATTTTCACTGATGGTGTTCACCCCACTAGCTTCTCGTTGTCCTTCAGCAGGTAAAGGTACAGGTAGTTCACCGCCAGGTGGTACTTCTCCGACAGTGTTCTCCCCACCAGTGTGATGTGGAGCTCCTGTAGCAGCGGCAGCAGACACAGTGGAGGTCATGAGCACCCCAACATTTCCAGCATCAGACACCCCAGGAGG